GCCGAGGCTGCGGTGGCAGGGAGCATGCCACTGTCCTCCAGCCTGGGTGACAGAGTGAGACTCCAACTCAACCCCCCTCCCCCAAAACAAAAATCTGGCAGACCTTTTGCTTTCATCAGTGCCCGCTGTTTTCAAGCAGGACCTCAAGCAGTCCTCTTTTCTCAGCAGAGGAAGGGCCCTCAGAGGGCAGCTTCCAGGGTAGAGGGGTCTCTTCCTTGTGTGCCCCCCCAGGGACCTTCAGTGTCCCAGTCATGACCCAAAGGGCAAAAAAGAAGGCTCCACCCAGGTTGAAACTACAAGAGCAAACCTCTTAATTTAGTGAAAAAAAGGCACATCAGAAAAAGTCTTTATCAAAAAGGAACCATTCTGGCAACTAACTTTTAAGATTTATAATATTGGTGAAATTTTAAGTGGAAATAACAACTCAGGAAAATTTGTCACCAAGAGGCTGAAACTACTTGCTGAGGCTGTAAGGTTTTGCTTTGGTTTTCATGCTCTGTTTTCAGGACTAACTTAAGTCCCAGGAAACAAAATCCTAACATAAACAAACGAGCAGATGTCAAATGTTGGGTCTAGCAGCCGTATTTCTGCTGCGATCTCAGGGCCGTTCCTGTTCTTGGCTCCTGGAAAGTCCCTCAAATTTCTGTGGCATCCTTGTGAGAAGTTCTTATACCAAAGACAAGCCAAGAAACAACAGAGCAGGCAGAAGTCAGAAGTCAGATTCCCATCCAAGATCCTGTCTCCCTGGTGCTGGTGGCAGAGAGCGTGTGTGTGTGTGTGTGTGTGTGTGTGTGTGTGTGCACGCAAGAAAACAGCCCATTCATGGATTTCTAGTCAATTTAAAAATTCAATTCTTCCAAAGCAACCCAGACAATGAAACATAGTGGGTGGCCAGGGTCTGAGCATCATGTTCACGTGCAACAAAATGAGCCACAGAGAACACTGCCATTTCTCATCAAATTTGTGACTTGTGATCCAAGTTTATTTGGTTTGCTCAAGCTGAACCTGGCATACTAGTGAAAATCCACATAGTCCATAAGGCAAGTTTTCTGACCAATAACAACTCTAACCCTTATTCCACCCAGTCAGTCCCGTGGGGGGAAAGTATGTCTGGTCTCTAACTGCCCAGTCCTGGGGGTGCCAGTGGCACTAAGTGGGCCTGGGATAGAGCAGCAAGCACTGCCCCGTGATGTCACAGCCTCCAGGAGGCAAGTGACTTCTCTCCAGGAAAGAGGGGGGAGGGACCCCATGGCAGTCCTCAGAGCTGGGTTCTGAGGGCCACTTGAGATGAAAGGATGACTGCAAGACTCAGAGGTCTCTCTGATGTCAGGGTGACTCCAAAACACACCAGGATCAGAAAACAAGGCCAAGGCTAGACCATTACCTTCTATTTCAGGAGATTAGTCCCACACCAAAGCAAGAAGTTATCATCTAATTGAAAACCAATCAATGTAATTGATCATATTAACAGCCTAAAGAAAAAACATAGGATCACATCAAAGAAGAAAACACATTTGACAGAATTCAACACTTAATATTTCTGATAAAGACCCCCAGGAAACTAGGAACAGAAAGGAACGTCCTCAGCCTGACAAAGGGCATTTATGAAAAACCTACAGCTGACTCACAGCAGTAAAAGACTGAAGGATCTTCCACTAAGATTGAGAGGAAGGCAAGGATGCCCATTCTTGCCACCCTGATTTTAACATTGCACTAGAAGTTGTAGCCAGTGCTAAAAGGCAAGAAAATAAATTTTAAAATTTCATATTGGAGCTGGGTATGGTGGGTCACACTTGCAATCCCAGGACTTTGGGAGGCCAAGGTAGGAGTATTGCTTGAGCCCAGGAGTTTGAGACCAGCCTGGGCAACATAGTGAGACTATCTTTCTAAAATATTTAAAAATTAGCCAGGTTGGCAGTGTGCATCTGTAGTCCCAGCTACTTGGGAGGCTAAGATGGGAGGATTGCTTGAGTCCAGGAGGTTGAGGCTGCAGTTAGCTATGATCACACTGCTGCACTCCAGGATGGGTGACAGAATGAGACTCTCTCTAAAAAAAAAAAAAAGTCAGGCACAGTGGTTCATGCCTATAATTACAGCACTTTGGGAGCAGAGGCAAGAGGATTGCCTGAGTCTAGGGGTTTGAGACCAGCCTGGGCAACTTGGTGAGACCTCATCTCTACAATAAATTAAAAAATTAGCTGGGCGTACGCCTGTAGTTCCATCTACTTTGGAGGCTGTACGGTGGCCGTGAGCATGCCACTGCACTCTAGCCTGGGTGACAGAGTAAGACTCCTATTCAAAAAAAAAAAAAAGAAAAGAAATACAGCTGTTATATTTGCAGACAACAAAAAACTTCTAGAACTAAAAAGTAAGTTCAGCAAGGTTGCAGGATACAAAGTTAACAGCCAAAAATCAATTAGATTTTCATACCCTTGCGATGAACAGTTAGAAACATAAATTTAAAAATCAATACTATGCCGGGCTCGGTGGCTCAGCCTGTAATCCCGCGCCTTTGGGAGGCTGAGATGAGTGGATTGCCTGAGTCCGCGGGTTCGAGACCCGCCTGAGCAGCAAGACCTCATCTCTACAATAAATCAAAAAATGAGCCGGGTGTGGTAGCGTGCACCTGTAATTCCGGCTACTCGGAAGGCTGAAGCAGAAGGATCCCTGGAGCCCAGCAGGTTGAGGCTGCGGTGGCCGGGAGCGGCCACTGCACTCCAGTCTGGGCGACAGAGTGAGACTCCAACTCAAAAAAAAAAAAAAAATCAATACTAGGCTGGGCACAGTGGCCGAAGCCTGTAATCCCAGCACTTTGGGAGGCCTAGGTGAGAGGATTACCTGAGCTCACAGGTTCGAGAACAGCCTGGACAACTTGGCGAGACCTCATCTCTACAATAAATCAAAAAATTAGCTACTATACTCCAGTCTGGACAATAGAGTAAGACTCCAACTCAAAAAAAAAAAAAAAATCAGTACCATTTACAGTATCTCTGGAAACATAGAATTCTTATGTATACATCCAACAAAACGCACACAGGATCTATATGCTAAAAATTATAAAATGCTGATGGAAAAAATCTAAGATGATCTAAATAAATGGAGAAAACATACTACGCTCATGAATTGGAATACTCAACACAGAACAGATGTCAATTCTCCCCAAATTGACCTATAAATTTAATGCAATTTAACCAAAATCCTAGTAGGATGTTTTTTGTAGATATGGAGAACTGATCTAAAATTTATATAAATACTTTAAATTAATATAAATAGCCAGCACTGAAGAAGAATAAAGTAGGAGGAGCCACTCTAGTTGATTTTTAAAGACTTACTATAAAGTTATAGCAATTAAGACTGTGTATTTACAAAGGGATAGGCACACAGATCAATGGAATGGAATAGAGCATCCTGAAATAGAGCTATACATATATGGCCAGTTGATTTTTGACAAAAGTGCAAAAGCAACCCAATAGAGAAAGAATAGTCTCTTTTAACAAATGAGGCTAGAACAACCCATTGCTTCCTGTGGAAAGAAAAAACAAACCTAGACCTAAACCTTACATTTTATTCAAACATTAACTCAAAAGGAAACAGATCTTAATGTAAAAAACCTAAAATGTAAAACTACAAAACTTTCAAAGAAAACAGGAGGGCCAGGTTTGGTGGCTCAGCCTGTAATCCCAGCACTTTGGGTGGCCGAGGCAAGTGGATTGCCTGAGGCCATGGATTTGAGACCAACTCGGGTAACTCTGCGAGACCTCGTCTCTACAATAAATAAAAAATTAGCCAGGCATGGTAGCACGTTCCTGTAGTTCTGGCTGCTTGGAAGGCTGAGGTGGAAGGATCGCCGGAGCCCAGCAGGGGTGGCTGTGAGCATGCCACTGCAGGTTTTTGTATGGACATATGTTTTCCTTTCTTTTGGGTAAATACCTACAAGTGGAATTGCTGGCTCATATAGAGTGCCACTGTATTCCAGCCTGGGCAATGGAGTAAGACTCCAACTTAAAAAAGAAAAAAGAAAAAAAAGAAAACAGGAGAAAATCTTTGCAACCTATGAATAGGCAAAGAGTTCTTAGATATGACATCAAATGCATGACATGCATTTAGATTTGATAAAAGTTTCAAAAATTTAAGACAAGGTCACTCTTTAGAGGATGAAAATGCACACTAAAAGACTGGGAGAAAATATTTGCAAGTCACATATCTGACATGGGACTTGTATTCAGATTATATAATTCTCAAAACTCACTTTAAGAAAAAACCCAACCCAGTAAAAAAAGAAGCAAATGACTTGAACTGACACTTCACCAGAGTGTCCATGAAAGGGAACTAGGTGCAAGAAAAGCTGCCTAACCTCAGTAGATGTAAGTAAAATGCAAGTTGCCACCACACACCCATTAGAATGCTCAAAAACACAGACACTGACATCATTGAGTGCTGACAGCAAAGTGGAGTAACAGGAACTCCTGTCTGTTGGTGGGGGGGATGCAAAATGGCTGCCCACTCGGAAAAATTGTTGGGTGGTTTCTGAGAGAATTAAACACACACTGTAGGAGCCAGCAATTCCACTTGTAGGTATTTGAGCAAAAGAAAGGAAAACATATGTCTGTACAAAAGCCTGCATGTGAGTACTAAGAACTGGCTGACTCGTAATCGCCCCAGACTAGAGACCACCCAAATGTCCCTCAACTAGTGAATGAATAAACCAGCGATATTATGATGGACTATTACTCAGTAGCAAAAAAAGAACCAACTACCTACTCATGCAACAACTTCGATTGAATCTCCAAGGCACTACACTGAGTGAGCCTGGGAAACATGACCTGTCCTCCTTTAGCTAATGGTGAACTGAAGTTCAAAGAACTCTACAGACCTGCCGAGGGTCGCATGGCCCATCTGAGGCTGGCCCACCTCCAGCATGGGCTGCCTGAGACCACAGCAGGCAACCAGTTGCCTCTTACTCACGGCCCCCCTGTTGGTCCCAAGAGGCCCCTACATACCGTGGCTGGTGAGGACCGGGAGGTGTGTGCCAGGGAATGCCTGGTGCCGTCCATCCCCCCATGGATGAGATAGGCTCCCGCGCTGGAGACGATGGGGTTCCCCCCGACGTCCATGGTGATGCCCACCATGCTGTGGGAGGGAACTGCTGATGGGGACGAGGCTGCCACGGTCACCTGAGCGCCACCTGGAGCCTCAAAGTAAGAAGCTGCACTGCTGGGGACGTACATCTGCGGCTCAGGGTTGTAGGCGTAGGCTGTTCGTCTGTCAGAAAGGGAAAAGTCACCGTGGGACCCTGTCCCGTTTCAATGAGTTTCAAAAATCCAGCAAAGCATCAAGGAAAAAGTGCAGCCCTGCGAGACTGGGCCTACAGAGTGATCAGACATAGTGTATGAAGTTCAAATGCATACAACGTTCAATGCCATCATCTCTGAAAATATTCAGGATGATAGGCTGAGTAATGAAAAACTGACAATTAAAAAATTCTAAGTGGATACTGCCGGATGTGGTGGCTCACATCTGTAATCCCAGCACTTTGGGAAGCCAAGGTGGGAGGATGACTTGAGGTCAGGAGTTCGAGGCTAGCCTGAGCAACATAGTAAGGCCTTGGCTCTATAAAAAATAAAAAATTGGCCAGGCTTGGTGGTTCAGTTTGGGAGGCTGAGGTGAGAGGATTGCCTGAGTCCGCAGGTTCGAGACCAGCCCAGGCAACCTGGCGAGACCTTGTCTCTACAATAAAATAAAAAATAGTCGGGCATGGTAGCGTGCATCTGTAGTTCTAGTTCCTTGGAAGGCTGAGGCAGAAGGATCACCAGAGCCCGGCACCTCAAAACTGGGGTGGCCGTGAACGTGCATGCCACTGCACTCCAGCCTGGGCAAAGGAGTGAGACTCCAACTCAAAAATAAATAAATAACAATAAATAAAAAATAAAAAATTAGCTGGACGTGGTGGTGCATGCCTATAATCCCAGCTACTTGGGAGGCTGAGGCTGAGGTGCTTGATCCCAGGAATTCGAAGTTGCAGTGAGCTGTGATCGTGCCACTGCACTCCAGCCTAGGTAAGAGCATGAGACCCTTCTCTAAAAAATAAATGAAATGAAATGAAATAAATACAATACAATAAAAATTCTCAGTGGATAAATGGATCACATGAGCGAGGGCCTTTGTGGAGATAGAAGAGTTCTTTTGGAGATGAACCCATTCTCTGTCTTATTGTGATGTGGTTATACAAATCTAAGCATGGAAATATTGTGCACACATAAACCTGTAAGCACACACACACACAACTGGGAAAGGCTTGTGGAACTAACAAGGTTTGCAGACCAGTTAACAGTATTGCCCAATGTCAGTCTCTGGGTTTTGTTTTGTTTTTTTTCTTTTGAGTTGGAGTCTCACTCTGTCGCCCAGACTGGAGTGCAGTGGCCA